AACAATTATTTGTTTTTTTCTTTACACTAATTGATTTGTCTCATTATTCTGTACATAAAAGTATTACGGTAAGATTATCAAAAACTGAATATTTTACGAGATATTTTATTTTTTATATCAAAATATGTTAGATTAAGATATAAAATAACTCAAAAAGTACTTAATGAAAAAATACTTTATTATAGTGTTTTGGAAAGCTCTCGACGTAAGCTATAAGAACATGCAATAAAAAATGGGGGGTTCCATTTAAGAAAACGTCGATCACATTGATCTCACCTTGAAAAGGTCACTCAATGTCAAATCCATATTTTTATCATGTGGCCCCCTCCGAACCCTACAACTTTTGTTTGAAACATCTTTTTCGACAAAGCTTACTTTCCGAGATATTTTACAGTTTCAAGTTAAAAAACTCACCCTGTATATTATATTATTATTCTATTTTTATATCATTATTTTTTTCTGCAATATTTGTTTTTCGTTTCGGGATAAAAAATGAATCCCAAAATGCAATTTTGCATGCTTGAGGCTATTATGAAAATTTTATTATGTATTATATCATCTCGATGAAGAGAAGTTTGAAACATTTCGCTAACAAGAGCAATATATGAAGATGAAAGTAATATTTATTAATAACTCTCGGTGTGCTTATAACACGTAATTATTATTCTTCTCTTTATACACACATACATACACACATATCAGCTTTCAGGTTTAATTCCTTCACAAATTTTGTATCAATATTTTTTATTTGACATGTTATATGATATTAAATATTTATCTTTAATATAATTTAATTAATAAGTTGTATTTTCTCGAAAAAAGTCCGTAGGTGTGCGAAAAGGTCTTTTTTTATAATTGCTAAACTTTATCGTTTCAAACGCAAAATAAAAAGTATGTATAAAATGCCAGTAGTAGAAAGTATTTTAATAAAATATTTTTTTGATGAAGTTTTTAATAAAAAATATTTACAATTTTCATGCGTCAACATTTGTATCGTAAATGCTATGGTAGCCTGTTAATCAAAATACATCAAGCGCGCTAAAAAAATCAATATAAATTATAATCACTGAACTGACGTCTCTTTCAAAAGTAAAATATCGCGCGTGCGCCTCCGTAATTATTTATATGCGTGACTAAATTTGAATTTCTGCTACATATTATCAGCTTTATTAGTGAAATCGGCTTAAGATCCTTGTAGTACCGACTCATGCGGATAAAAGGAGCGAAACACGAAGTTATAATTTTGTCGATACAAAATTTCTTCGCGCGTGTAATCGCGTGCAAGCTTATATTCTCGTCATCTTTGCGAGCGTTAATATCCCCTTCCGTTTTCGCGAACTTTGCGAGCGTCTTCCAAGTTTCGAGGCGAAACTTACGCATAGGGACGGGTCGCGAAACGAACTTCCGGAATCTTCTCTAGACAGAGCCCGGAGAGAGATAAATACCTTTTTCGCTGTTATTTTCGACCGTAAGGGGGCATACGCCCGGAAATTCGAATCTGAAAACATAGGGGAACTACGTGTTTGAAATGCTGAATAATTTCGTATTCATTTTGCGTATCAATATCATAATTTTGCGTTACTGATTCCAAATTTCCGATATTTGTTAATGTCCGTTTTTCAAATTTTTAATCTTTTTGATTTTTTTGTAATAAACAGTTTTATATTTTTAAAGCCTCTACTGTTTTATTTGTACTTATAAAAACTAAATGTGTATAATACAAATTGTTAAGTGAAGTAATAATCAAATGTATTTAAAAATTTTATTTAATATGAAAATAATATTCCTCTACTATAACAGTAATGCAATAAATAATAAATAATAATGCATTAATATTATTGGTGTTATAATAATTTATTAGTAATATATATAAAAAATAATAATACATAATTTACTAACAAATATAATATTACAACATTTTGTAAAAGTATATTTTAATTCTCTTCTGTCTCGAAATTCTTTCATAAGAGCAATATCCGAGAAATATTTAGATGAAAAAAAAAAAAACGCCGGTCTGACAATGAAATGAGAAGGTTAACGCGAAATCGATACATAGACATGCTGCGCACGATGTATCGCTCGTGTTTTGGGGATGATGCCAAAATGTGTGTCGCCGTAGCAGCCATTAGGCCGCTGTCCTCGTAAGGCGCGCGTTCGTGTACCTCGTATGTAAACACGTTGCAGTCTATGCACTATGCAGTCGCAGTTAAGAGGGGAAGTAACGGGAGGAGAGACTACGAGAGACTACGTTACAACAGCGGAGCGAGACGAGAACGGAGAGCGTTTAGCGAGGATGCGTCGCCGCGAGTGATGCACAGGATGGTGCTAATGAGACTCGTTTATACGCTTCGAACAATGTACACTTTGTCGATAGAGAGAAAGAGAGAGAGAGAGTATAGTTACACAATGCAAAAGCTCTTAACGGTCTGTACTTTCCTCCGTATTGATCATCTATCGCGTTATCGTTATCCTTTGATGAAAACCGATTCTTTTACGCTATGCGGAAACTGCTCCAGGACATCTCTCTTTGTTAAATTAAAATCTGTTTGCGAAATAAATATCTTTATCGGATATTTAGTCTCATATATTCATCGATGTTATTTTCATTTTACAATAGCCGCGAAGAAATATGGTGATACATACGTGTGTTTAATTGATACGCCCTGTAAACCATATCCATGATTCCATAATTGAGAATCTTCTCAAGCCCCTACAATTGAATTAACGTTAAAATTACGTCATTTCCTAAATTATCTCTCGTCATCGTGCGCTTTCGCTGTTAAGGGGATTAAAGTCAGATGGAACTTGAGCGGGGCAGTTAACGTTTACGGACCAAGTCGTTTTTTGAGATGGTTGGTTATCTCTCTCGAGATATCTTTCCCTCTCAGCGAATTTCGCCGGCAAAATTCCAAATTGCCATCGCTGTCGCCATCGTCGTCACGGCTAGCGTCCGACGTCGTTTCGTGCGATGAAACGATGGGGGGATCCCGATGAGTCAGACGGAATCACATCAAGTCGGAAAGGTCGGTGCAAGAGAGCGAATGAGATGAGGAAAATTACGTATCCTTTTTCAGCTTGCGAATCGATGGAACGGGATTTCTTCCGAATTTACGACATTGTGTACTTGCAACATCAATGCATAGTCCAGGATTGAATCTTATCGTCCTACATTCACCAGATATTATTTGCCATTCTCTTTTGTCCCTCTAATGAGACCGCGTCTGAGATGTATACGCGAACGAGAGCTTTTGGAATTTATCGCCACTGTGGCGTCTTGCTAAAAATACCTCTTAAAGCTGACAGAGAGCGGAAAGCTTTTCGCAGTTAGGAAATAATCCGTAAATTTTGTTGAAACGAATTTCCTACAGTGTTTTATCTATGCGACGCGCACGCGCGCATTAAATCTAATAAATTATTAAATAAAATAAACAAAATTATATGCGAATAAAGTATCTATATCAATAAATTAATATGTGCGTAATTTGTTATAAAGTCGTTTTATATTTTATTGTAGCATATATAAGTAAACAGAAAAATTTAATCAATATTGAAATAATTATGTACGAAACTTGATATATACTTTTATTACAATATTTTATATTTTCATTTATTTTTATTTATTCCGATTAAAAGACATTATTATTTAAATCAAAATTGTTTAAAGGTACATATATTCATAAACTTTTATATAAATTTTAATATCTCTCTCCCTTTTATTTAAATTTAAAACACGTGTAGACTTGCAAGAGAGCAACTATATGCGATTTTCTGAGAAACTATGTACGATCGTCTGACCAAGCGCGGTTTGCATCACTTACGGCGAGCACTATTCGCTCTGACCACAATTACGGCTATACTACTTAAGTAGAGTGTGTCCGGCATAACATGTATGTCGACCTCGACTTAAATTAGCTACTTTTATCAACAATGCAATCGAGCGCTTTTTTTCTTATTATTCTTTTAACGAGCGTGTTTTTTCTATTAAATATGAAATTCATTTTGATACTATCAATTTGATAAAACATCTCGATGATTTCGCTCAGTATGATAATCTTTTAATATTTCTTATTTCTTTATTATATGCTATATGTACTATAATGACAAAGATATATTAGGATCCATGAATAATTAATTAAATCTAATTTAATTAAAAATATTGCAATACATATTAAATAATATTAAATACATAAATAATATTAACCACATATAAGAATTCTTATATTAAAAATAAGTCTTAAATCATTCCATTTTATGTAGAAAATAGTGTGAACTATTTTTGAAAGATGTAAATGTCAAAATAAAATAAATTTTAAATTTGGATCGTTCTTTCAAAATATTCGAAATAACTCTTCTAAAATAAACGGTTTGTGAGATCTTGCGACAAAATATTTCGTATTTTCAAAACATGAATAAATTTGACAAAGTTTAAGTCAAATGCTGACTCTGACGTGTATGTTTTTCCGCAGGTGGAGGAGATCCGCGAAATGATAGATAGGATCCAGACGAATGTGGAAGATGTGAAGAAAAAGCACAGCGCCATTCTCTCCGCGCCGCAGACCGACGAAAGTGAGTTTAATTTATCATCTTGTATTACTTATCCTACTTCTTGTCCAAACACGTGCATACTACCAACATTCTCGCGAATACTATCAACGAGCTCGGTTGCGTCCCGAGGATAAAAAGCGAGATCGCGTTCAGCGTGAAAATGATCTTTTCCGGAAATTTATCGTTGGTATTCAACGGCCGATTTGAGGATTAAATCGAACGACAACCAGCTTGTTCAAATATTAGCGCGTCGTATACATTAATAATAACGCCTCTGTTTACTTTACGTGATTATTTACCTCGATTATCTTGTCGCTATTATATCGCAATCAATCGCTCTCGGTGAGTTCTGTTACACGGCACCCTTAATCGGGTTTAATAACATCCGTAGTTGTGAAACTGGCCAATCACAGCTATTCCTCTGAAGAATGGAATGACTGTGATTGGCCAGCCTTAGAACTACGGATGTTATTAAACCCGATTAAGGGTGCCGTGTAACAGAACTCACCGAGAGCGATTGATTGCGATATAATAGCGACATATATATATATATATTCACTCTCTCGGAGATATCGATCGTTAGAAGCGAAGAAAATGTTTGGGTCGGTCATCCGAGATGAATCAACACTTCGTTTCCAGGTTAACCGTTGATCCTTCGCGAAACTTCTCCGTCGGAGGCTTGCTGGGAGTCAAATTCAAATTTGCTCACTGTACATAATTCAGGAACTTATCCGTCTTTCCCGGGGTCGATTTACTCGACACCGGCGCGCTTTCACGTCGGTTGGTTGCCCTCGTTCCTCGCTGGAATACTTACATCCCGCTCATCCGGACGTCGGGTCCCTTGAATATTTCATTCGCCCGCAAACGCATGCGTTACTTGCCAAAAACCATTCACCGAACACACATTGCTCCGAAATCCGATATTCCAGAATGACATTTTATTATTGGAGCACGGAATGACTTGCGACGGAATCGTTCGAGCTCCAAATATATCGTTGCATTTCGAACACTGTTGAGAAATTCAAGATTTATCGAATTTCAAATGTGTATATTGTAGGATTTAGAAATTTCTGATATATAATTAAAAACAATTTTATCTGATACAATTTAGCACGATTAATTTAACCGCAACTCGAGAAATGAATTAAATAACGATTCTTATATATAAACTTTAGCGCGAATGTGGTAAGGATTGATTCGATGAGAAAGATTGATAAAAACTTGTTAACAGACGTTGAAAAGATTTTGGCGAAATAATTTCACCGAAGGATGTTCCGTTTATAATTACTCTCTGCGTATAATTACTCATTGCGAGATAAATCATTCGAAGAATCCGACGTATCGGCAGTTTCACGCCGATGATAATCGAGTCTCGATATTCCGATGAGCCACCGTCGAATTCAATAGCGGGAAGCGGGAAATGCAATGCAGGGGATCGGTTAAGTTTGAAAAGTGGCTGGCGGAGAGTAGAGGGTAAAAGGGGGAGGAGTGGTTTAGCATGGCCAGGGTAGCTCGCGAGAGGGTAAGCGGGTGGGTGGCAGACACGAGAGGTACGGCAGAGAGAAAGAGAGAGAGAGAGAGAGAGAGCAAGAGAGGGATATACACCGGTGATAATCGTCCTTGCCCTGATTGCCATTGTAGCTGCCAGCCGGCTGGGGTTGGATTGTCATTTCTTACACCTTCATCCCCTCGCACGCTGCGGCTTCTAACTCTTTGTTGATATGAATCGAATGCCAACGGATTTGCCGCGGATTAATCGTTAATAGTACTCCCGCGAACTTCGCTTTCCAGGATGTCTTCCTAGGAAAGATTACGAAGATGTCCTTTACGTCTTCTAACGTAATTAGATTCTGGAGCACTTTCTGAGAAAAAGAAAAAATCTATATAAATTGCAAATTTATAAGAATTTAATTTTGCAACCATTTCGATTTATGTGTAACCGATAATTCATGGATGTAGATGGAGACTTTACTTTAAAAATCTATGTGTTAATTTCCCGGATATTTAGCTATCATTGATAATGTGTACATTATTACAAAATCTGGTAATATTTTAAGAAACGATCGATTAAAGCTATACTCATTTTTTTAAGATTTAAATATTGGTAGATATAATAATTTATTTTGTCATATATGTACATATAACAATATAGAGATCATAACACAGAATATAACTCATTTGTAATTGCAAAGTTTTGATATTAAGCTACAAAAAAAATATTAATATCAGAACACACGTCACAGAAAGAGAGAAGGAGAATTATTTTGCGCGCTAATTTATATGAAAATCCGGACAAACGGCGGAAATGCAATGCGTTTCTATCTAGCTTGTCCATAATTTCGAGCAAGTAGATTAACCTGTCGCAACCGAGGAGGATTAAGTAATATCTCATTCGAGAGCAATGGCTGTTAATTACTATTAATATCACGACTTTGCGCATCAAAATTTCGCGGTGATTCAGCCTGGTTTCAATTATTATATGTATGTACTGCGCGTAATCTTACTCCGTCAACGTAATACGTCTATGTATACGTCGTATCGGTTTATTGTCGTAATAGTAGGACACGCGCGTATTTCCATAGCTATCCATTTTGCTCGGTCTCTTTTCAGCTTCGCTCTTTTGCTTGCCTGAGAAGTTTTGACGGCGAGGCAGCTAAGCCCTAGAAAGAGAGATACGTCAAAGAAGTTTCTCTCCCTCCGTGTGTATTACACGTATAAACATGTATGTGTCTCCAGACACTTACGTTTATTGCAACTTTTCGCAACGTAACTTAGTCGGAGCTTAAATGAAATTGCGGCTGGGAAATGAGAACGCGTAGATAAAACGCGTGTATCATCGGATAAACATCGAAATCCAATTTGCAGCTCTACTCCCGATACACACAATTACGCACAGAAATGTGTCAATTTGTTTATAATAGTGGCTTTCGCGCAGATTGCTACGAAGACTTTTTTTTTTATAGCGCAAATGAATAGGATTATTTCGCGAGACGATGGGAGAGATCTTATGGTAACTGGAAATCGAGTCTCTTTCTCTCCGAAGACTCTAAGCTTAGTTTTTATTTTTATGCAGTTTTTATTTCTTTTTTTATCTCTATTTAGATCGCGTACTCCAAAGTAAAGAGGTATCTATTGCACGTCTCTTTTTTTCTACTCGATACAAATATAAATATATAAAATATATAAAATTATAAATAAAAATTTAAGCGTGAGCGAAAAACAAAAATACATCATAATAACAGGAGATTATAATTTTATTATTAACACAAAAATGATATGTAAAAAACGTTTTTTCTTTAAAATATCGCACAGCTGTTTTTTACGAATTAAATTATTTCCTTCAACGCTGTTGCGAGAATTTTTCAACTCTGTTAGCGAAAATCGCTCGTCGAGAAATACACGAAACTGTTCGTAGCGCGGTCGATACGTGAACGAGATGAAGATAATCGAGCCTCGTGCACGTCGATATTGTCATCGTTCGCGACGATCCGATAGAGAAACGGGTTAAACGGTTTTGAAAACTGTGTCGAATGCCTCGTTAGAGGAAAGAGGATAGAGGCGAGAGAGCGCGCGCGCGGATTACAAACGATAATGACGACCCTGTGGAATCGGTGTTACGCATTTGTTACGGCGGATGGTTCGATAATCGATCTTTCCCACGTCACTTACGCGCTCGGGGCCGCGAAACGCAATGGTCGTCGTTACCGGAACTCCTCTATAATTTGCACGAAATTATTCGCGCGTTCGAATCGCCGCCGCGTCCATATTTCCGCAATGCTAATGATAATATTCGTTAAATATCGCATTACGCGCATTGTGCGCTTCCGGCAAACGATGATTTTGATTAGTAGCCCGCGTCTCTCCTAATTTCGCCATCCAGTTCGTTGATTAACCTCGGGAGACATGCGTTTGCAATATTTATTATTCCTCTTTCTACGACAATCATATCGATATTACATGCCACACGCAATTATTTATATTTGTAGCAAAACTTTTGTATATATTTTAGCGAATATTATTACATATTTCTCTCCAATAAAAGCTCCAATTAAACGGTTTTATTATTCATGGGCCATTTAGGTGGAAAAAACAACTGCTGGTAATTATTGCAACTTTTGTAAAAAGTAAGCAAGAAATTATTCAAATAGTGTGCGAGAAGCGCAAATTTTCATATAATTCTCGCGTGAAATAATCATGTTACGTTTGTGAGAATAAAAAGTTCAAAATATACCTGCGATGTAAAGAGATTAAATCGTTCCCGAGCAATCATCGTCTCGCACAGCCCCGTTTCCGGCGCATAATTAACCGACTCTTTCTCACGACGTGCATTCCTAAGGAGTCATCGTCCCGACTGCGTTCGTTTCGACGAAGTTGCACGATTATGTAAATAAAAATAAGAGAGAAAAAGAAATAAAAAGTAAATCTCGGACACGCGCCATCGAACGATGTACGCTCCGTGTGTGCTGATGTTACAGCATCGGCATAGACGCGCACCACCTGCCGACGCTGCTAAATAATATATTACGAGAATAGTCCTGCGCTAAAAATAGCCTGAAAAGTCAGTGCGATGGAGAGGCACTCGAGTTACCTCGACGCCGCTCATCGATCCTATCTCGTAACTGCCAGCTGCTGTGTATCAGCGGCAACGGATGAGAGCGTTTCTAAGCCGGCAGCAACCGCGCGAAAAAACGGACCTTTACGTCGAGATTCATTTAGACGGAACGATTCTTGACACGAGGGCCGATTGTGAACGTGCCCTCGCCAAACTATCGTCCGGTTCATGTAACATGATTTCCCTGAGTTTGTACGTACTCGTCGATAGAGACCGTAAATACACCGTGTCAATTACACCGTGCTAAACAAAAATTTAATACGTTAACGCATTTATTCCGAATAGCGTTACTGAGTATAATGTATAATTTAAAAAGAAAAAGATTTTTTTTTTTTTATATATTGTGAGTTTTTTTTTCTCGCGATAAATGGAGCGAACGAAATCTCCGTTTCTTATCGCACATGTATCG